TACGCCATTAGTACTTTACATTAGTGATAACATTACTTATGTTTTTACTTTTATTTTCACATGATGTTTGGTATCTACAGGAGTAAAGTTGAACTTACAAAAAGCCTCAGGAATGTAACTTGTTCTTAAGTATAGAAGCACCCGTATTATTTTGAATTTTATAATGGTCTCATTCCGAGTCCTCTCACATGAGACTACAGTACTGTATTATCTAATGATAACACAAATGACAAAATACATAAGCTTAGTAACTCGATAACATCTTATACAGGGGGTCCCCAACTTACGAGCACCCACCGATACGAACAGGGTTAAACTTGAAATTTATAGTATTTTATTTACCGGATGACTAATTTTTTTACTTTCATTTACTATATTTTGTCATTCTGTTTCTTTTTTTGCTGTGATATAGTGGGATTTTAAACATTGTTCTGTACGTACGGTATGCACATAGCATGTGTTCCGACTTGCATACAAATCCGACTTAAGAATGTCCTCAGGAATGGAACCCGTTCAATGCGTTCATAACCCAATAATCCCCTGTACTGTATAGTCCAGTAAAATCCCAAATTTACATAGAACTGTATTATTGAATGTGCTAGGTTTATTAAATTACATGACTGATAAAAAATCAATTTGGTGCCTCGTAGTCTCAAAATTGGCCACTACATACAAAATACCTTATATAAGAAATTTTTAGTGATATAATTTTGATTAGGTAGTCTTCAGGTCTTAAGGTTTAGGTAATGTTTTATTTGATTATTATAACAGCACTGTAGATAAAACACAAGTAAATTTTGGCAACGAAACTCTCTCACTAACATCAGTGCGTTTCATCTCTTACAGTTGCTGGTGGTTTAGCAATGTTTATATACTTTAGAACATTTTTACACTAAAAATGATTTTGCTTTGGTATTTTCTAATATTGTAGCTAAAAACTTAGAAGGGATTAGTGAGAACACAAAGTTTGTGGGTTGCAGGTTAAGATGCATGGAGACTGGAGAAGCCAGTCAGCTGTCTGTACAGAGTACAGTAATTTTGAGTTGTATATATGTATTAGAAGAGTTATTCACTATAATTACAAAACAGTACTGTATACTGTACATATTTGTTAGTGAAGGAAAAACACAAATTTATCCATCTATTTTCAAAGGATATTCACAGTTTTGTGTATTTCACTACAATTCTAAGGAAATTAATTTGGTCAAGCAAATTTGTAAAAAATGGGATTTTACTGCACAGTACATCACCAAGAGTGTAGCTAGATTTCAGTGCACCAGTGCATGTTGTTGCATTCTAGTACATCATCAGATATGTATATATAATTTAGCTCATCACTAATATGACCACTGGAAAGTAAATTCTAGTGTGTCACCAGAAATGTGGCTAAATTCATACACAATATGTTTCCAGCCATTAATTTGTAAGGTGTGTACCAAGATTCTAGTTTGAGTAAGAGCTATGTATGAGGCACAAATTGTTTTTTAGCAACACCAAATTCTGCTGTAGATGTGTTGAGTGCAACCTTTTGTTCTGATCTGCTTAGACTCTATACTTTGTATATTTCTAATAGCAGAATCGCAACACATTAAGGTGGTTGTCAGGTAAGCTTTATTTATACATATAAATACAACATGGCATCATTGACTAGTCATAGTATGCAGAAATTTTTTGTTGTGTCAGCTGTATATTAATGATTTTGCACCTCAGTTTTGCCTTATTGGGAGACCATTTACTTGGGCGCGATATTTTAGCAGAATTTTAGATTACTGACAGTTAACCGTAATGTAGTTGAGATACTGTATATGTTCCAGGACACCTCATCCACTTTGTGGGAGATGTATGAACACATTCCCCAAAACTGTTAGTTAATAATCTTAGTTCTTCAACTCAACAGAAAATGACTGTTTACAAGACAGAGATATCAGTTGACTTTGAAATTATTAACCAAGAAAAATGGTTGAGATATCTGTTTCCATTTCTCATGCATTTGTGTTAGCTGTCTAAGTGTGTTTCTAGCAGAAACCAGAGCTGAGTGTATTTATTATCTCAGAGTAAAGAGACTGACTTTAGGCAGCTTGGGTTTCAGTCTGCAACTGCAAGCATTAAAATAGGCTGACCAATTCACTGACTGATATGAAAATTCAGGCAAGTCTTGATCAATCTTAAAATATCAGAAAAGTGCAGGCAAGAGTGTATTACAGGGCTATGGTAAGCTTTGTGTCTGAGTTAAACTAGTTTACAGAAATAGGCTTAGTAATGTCTTACAAAAACTCTTTTTCTTGATGCTGTATGAGACAAAAGAAACTCCATACCAAAATACTCCTGTGCACTCTAAGAGGGAAAATAATAATTTAATGGACATTTTTTTTTCTAAGGATGAGGGTTTGTTTGTCCCACACAACTTTGGTGGACCTAAACAGTTTATAGGAGCAAATTTAGCATGTTTACTGTACAAATGCATCTATAATGCTGCTAAGGTTAGTTATAATCTACCTCAGCCAAACTTTATCCAACATTAATTAATAATAAATAAATCTTAGTATTTCTCTGGGTGTCTTGTGTGCATCTTACCGAGCCTATATTATTTTTACAGCACAGGGCAATGTGTGGCTACACTCAGATTCTCTGAAACATGACAAAGAACAACTAAAAAGTCAGTGAAAACAGAACCCAAAGCTTGACCTCCACTATGAAATCTGTATCAAGGTACAGCACGCATTGTAAAAAACGAATAAAAAATTCCCTTAAATATGAATAAAGAAACGTCATATATATTCTCCATACTTCAAGCTAAAAAAAAAAAAAAAAAAAAGGGTACAAAAGGACAAACAATTATCCATATATAACAATGCAACCAATGTAGTATTCTTTTTCATATACAGTATAATAATGGAAGCCCCTCGAAATTGAGGATGGCCGGCCCGAGGGCCTCTTAGGCGTGAATTTGTTAAGGTGTAGAAGCTGTCGCCAACACAACAACCACACCCTAAGTTAACGAGCTGCATGGCCCAGTGTCACGGAATAGTCCGAGAAGACTGGACAGCTCGCCAACTGCACTGGCTAGCCATTACCCTGGAATACGATCCACAAATCAATTAACATCCAGGTTCCCAATTACTGCTGGGTAGACAGAGGCAAATGGCGTAAAGAAACTTGCCCATAGTTTCACCCTGCCCGAGGATCGAACTCGAGTCCGCTCACTTACGAGGCGAAGATGCTGACCCTTACACCACAGGTTGCCATATACAGCATACATCATCTACAACATATAGGAACTTTTTATAGCTGACAAAATGCAAAATTAGCTAATGTATGGTAAATCACGACCACCAAAGTGAATGTACCTGAATAATAACTAAAGTTGATTCTACATTTGTGTTTATAAGTTATATAAAAAAAAAAATAAAAAAATAAAAAAAAATAAAAAATAAAAAAAAGGCACCCTTTTGCTGCACTTGAGGTAACTACTACTACTACTACTGTACATACTACATAATATAAAGAGTGTGAAAGATATTTGAAGTACAGGAACCTACTCAATTTGGAGATATCTTAAGAGATGATTCAAGTACTTTACAAAAATTTCAAACACATTAAGAGACAATTCAAATATTTTAGAGACATTTTAAAAAACAAAGAAATGGTCCAAGTGCTTACTTATGTTTCAAATATGGTACCTAATACAAAGAACAGATCTTGAAAACCTTGTAAAAATCGGCATCTTTGGGTCAGCTCGTTACTTGTATTCAATTAATTTCCTTGTTAGTCCCACTTCTGAATTTTAAAGCCAAGGTGTGAATGGAAGAGAATAGTACTGTATTTACCAAGGACTGTACTGTACCATACATCTGATTTAGTAGGTAAAAATATTTCTGGACAACAATATGCAATATCAAATTCTGTTGGAACATTAATATTTATCACTGTATAACTAGACAGTACTTCAGAAGCCCATAACTATTGTACACTGAAAGAATGACAGACAGCAATATGATAATTAAATGAGAATAAAAAAGTGACAATATCTCTGGTATTTCAAGTTCTGTTGTGACGAACTTGGTAAACAATGACAATCAGTACATATAGAATGTACACTCGCCAAAATCTTCTCGAACGCTATAAGCACTACGCAATCTGAAAAATGAACAAAGACTCTGCGAGCATTCCGAGATGACAAGCCCCATTCTCACATTCATTGTGCCCAGGTGTTCGAGAAGTTTTTGTTGTGAATGTACAGTATATGAAACCAGGCATTACAAATACTGTACCTTTAAGGCTGCTATAACCCAAAAGTAACCTTCTGGCTAATTTTCAATATTCATTTTTGTTGTGGAATACCACACAATATTTACTTTTATTATGGGGCATGTCACTTTTATTATGGAGGAAGTCACTTTTACTATGGAGCAAGTCACTTTAATCTGGAGCAAGTCACTTTTACTTAGGAGCAAGTCACCTTTACTAAGGAGCAAGTCACCTTTAGTATCGAGTATGTCACCTTTACCATGGAGCAAGTCACCCTTACTATGGAGCACCAGTAAAATTCCACTTTTGCTATGGAATACTGGAACCAGAATCACCTTTGCTATGGGGTACCAATAAAATTTAACTTTTACTATGGAGTACACGTATTTAAATTGTTGTAAGTTACACCTATATGGTACCCTGTACTCGTTTGAGAGGCAAATCACAAACTTAATCTGGCAAATGAGGTACAGTACAATGCTTGGACATTTGTACAGCCTACGTATTTTCAATAAATGCCAGTTTGCAAGAATACTTTACAGTATTTTATATTTCACTGTATTCTTAAAAAAAAATTTAATTAACTAAATATATAACAATATATGACAAAAGAGAGAAGCATTCTTTTATAAAAAATTTGAGTTCCTTCGAAAACTAAAACTTTCTTATTTTAGGCCATGGCTAAAACTCTTAAAATTCACGACACTTGACACACTCCACAATAGTCTATGACACAGGAAAAATACCACAACTCTTGCTCTTTTAGTGTAACATTTACCAACTACATTCTGCACACGTTTTGACATCCTCAAAAACTGTCACAGTCCACAGTCAGTGATTGATTGCTTGTTGTTAAGTGAGTCGCACCCTATCATTCCATTAAACACTTAGCAACCAACAAATAAAAAGTTGCTACACACTGTAACAGTGACTAAGAATCCCAAAAGTGAACAGTTCTTAGTCGACATCAATTCTGTACATGTACCAAAGTAAACAATTCTGCACATGTATGAAAATGAACAATTCTGTACACGTAAGTAAATGAATCTTTCCTACTTTCACTCAGCTTACACAATAAATTCAAAATCTACCTAAAGCTTTGATTATTATTATTATGTTTGTTAGGATTCAGTCTACTTGTCAAGGTCATACTGTGGTGTACTGATATATATATATATATATATATATCCAATGACTTAGAACTTTGTGTTTACAGAGAAGTACAACTGGTGCTGTGATATAACCACAAACAAACAACAATTCTGTCACAACAAGATTGCATTACGTTAATCAGTTAGGTGATTTGGACACGATTACCAAAAACAAAAAGAGTTGTTGAGAGAAAGGGAGAAAGAGATGAAAGATTATTTGGATATCCTCTTCTTCTCCTCTTAAAGTTTCATCTACAGACAGTAAGTGAAGTGTTTATTGAAAAAACATAAAAAAAAAAAATATAAGCTTAGTAAGATAAAAGAATATAACAGAAACAACCCTTACTAAAGAGCTCCACTTGGTGAACTTGGTGTGTGAGCCTCACATGTGGTGTATAACAACACTCCTCACCAGACTATTTGCCGTACAAGTATACTGAACCTTACAGAAGCAGCAACTTGGGCTGAATATCCCTGATCTGGCAGCTATTACAGTGTCTACACAAATTGAGCCATTAGAGGTGCTGCCACTCTGTCGCCATAACACTCGAGTTGCTCTCCATTGTGTGAGCAATGGTGTCAGGTATGGAGTGGGAAAGCCACATGGTATGGAGGCGTGCATACTGTTTAGCGTCCAGGTGTAAGGGATTTCCACGCTTCAAGCCTTGATCAGTCTCTCCATACTCATCAAGGTAAGGTGGGTTGACGAAGCATCCTGTAAATAGTGCTAACATAAGTCTTATATTCATGCTGTATTAAGTGAAATGAAGTGATTTAAGATATGAAGTGTCTGAGTTCAAATTTTGTCAATACTTCCAGTCAAATTAAAAACAAAGGCCAGCACAACTTTAGTAATTCTCTCTCTCACTCATATAATTACTGTATGCAAATACTGCACATTAATATTACAGTACTTAATGTTTCAGAAAAGATTAAGCAAAACAGTAGTGAATTAACAAACTCACACAAAATTATGGTAAGGAACTTAGTCAGTCATTTGGCACAGATATAAGAATGAAAAGGAGATGGTACTGAGTTACTGTACTGTATCTGATAGTGAATGTATAGAGACAATTTGTATTAATACAAAAAAAAGAAGTTAAAGAATCATAAGTACAGTAATCCTTTGCCAACCACAGGTTTACCAACAGGGGTTTTGAGTATCCATGTTTTATATATTGCATACCACCTTATCAACCATTGTATTGTTTTGAGTATCTGCATTTTTCAGATTTCTAGCCCAGTTCCAAAGGAAGGTTCATTGGATCAGTTCTAAAAGAGGTTGATCTTGTTCACTTAATCATATACAGAATATTCCTTAAATTATATTTTATCATCTCATTTTCACACAAGTTAAATGCAATGTGGCTTTCTACTGTCTTGACAATAGTCATCACCAAATTTAACACTCCAAGGGTCAGGGGCTGGGGTGGCAACCATACCCCTCATGGTCCAGGTCACAGACACTCTAATCACCAAGTAACTATCAAAAGCATTTATACCTTTATTGATAAACATGGAAACTTTTTTTTTTACCAAACTGAAGGAAATGAATTCATCTAGAATATGTTAAAGAGTTACAGTATTTTGTAAGGTAAGTATTTCTTTGAAAATCTGAGATGAATAACTTATTATACATTTTAAAGTTCTCATATTTTTCTTTGCCATCAAAAATATTCATTCTAATTCAAACATATGTAAAAGTATGAAAATAAATCAGTGTAACAGACCAAAATAAAACAGAAAAAGAAAAGACAACTAACACAAAGACCTCTGACATCCTCAAGTGTGAGTGCTTTAGGTTAAATGAGAAGCAGATATTACATGTACTGTATCTTCTTTACCCTTAACACCTTGTAAAAAAAAAAAAAAAAAAATTGAGGACATTTATTGTGTAGGCACATTGAGGCCAGGTGTAGCATCATGGGAGACTGCTCTATTGTACTACTACTAATTCTTTTTTTTAATATCTGTATCTACTCAGTGTACTGTATAGCATAATATATAGCATACATCCTGCATTACTTTAAACTTTCAGCTGTGTATTAAAGGAATTTAGTTTTGCCCTTGTATGGACACTTCCTCAAATCCTATTTCCCATTAAACCCAGCCCTTGCCAACCATAGGAAGTTTCTAAAACATAACCCCTGTGGTTGGTGAGGGATTACTCTATGTGCAAATTATTATGGGAATTAATTTCAAAGCATTACTAAAAAATAATCAAAGCACGGTACATACCTTTGATACGTCCTGACAATAGTAAGATCTTACACTCTCGCACCCTGAGGAATATTCCTGTTCCTGCTCCACAATGGTGAGCATGGTATGTACAAGCACCCACCATCTGTCTTGACCCTTCTGGGAACTCAGTCTGACAGCAGTAACTCTGAAATAATTGTCATATTATGTCATTAAAGTTTGAAAAGTATTTCAAGTTAGGCCAGATAACACATAACTTCTGTCTCAATATGTATGCTCATCTCTATGATGCTGCTTCACCTGTTTATTTTGAGTCACTATTTACCTCACATGCACTACCCAGTACAGCAGGGGTTCTCAACCAGGGGGGAATTCCCCCCAGGGGGGGAATTCAGGTTTTCAAGGAAGCAAGAGATATGTTCGATGAGAAATCAATCACAGAAATTTGGCCCTTGATGTGCGATTCCTACCCAAAAGCGGCAGAAAGAGATATCCGTGCATTGCTTCCGTTTGTGTCGACATATCTTTGTGAATCAGGCTTTTCAACTCTGTTGCAAATTAAAACGAAGCAACGTAGTAGATTAGAGGTAGAAAATGACCTGCGTTGTGCCCTTTCAAGCACTCCTCCGCGTATCCCAGAATTGGCGAAGAAAAACCAATCACAGGTTTCTCATTGACTGTAATCTTCATCTGAATAAAATTAATTACAAATTTACAATATTCTGGTATTCTATTGAACTTTTTGTTTATTGCATTATGCTTCAGTTTGGTCTGTTAAGTAATTCATTATAAATAAAAAAACTATTTTACTTTTATTCAAGTTTTATAAATCCATCAACATTTTCAATTGGCATTTAATTTGTAAAACTCCACTATAAAAATAATCCATGTAAAATTGTAAATGTATATGTACTAATATGGAAAAAATAAAGGATTTTCAGTATTATATGCATATTATTTGGAATGCACTTTTTGAGGCAGACAATCTTGGAAAGGAGGGGGGAATGACATTCTGACATATGGAGAAAGGGGTGCATGGGGCAAATAAGGTTGAGAACCACTGCAGTACAGTATAAGGTCAAGTAATACAAGCAGTGTTCACCAAACATTATGCCTGCTGGCCAAATGCTGCTCAAATCTTGAGTCCAGATGCACAAGAAGCTGACCCAGTTGAATAAGTTTGAACCAAATAATTCTGCATGTATTTGTTTGATTTGGGTTACTCTTATGCTGATGAGATCTGCTCTTGCAGTGTATTGGCTATTGGTGTATTTGTTGCAAAATGCAAGGCAAAGGTTGATATTACTGTACAGTACATACAATTTGTGTTCTGAAATTCATGAGAATATACTAACAGAGGTTAGGCTAATAGATATAAAGATATTTTTCAATTAAAAATTTGGTAACACTATGGGGAAAGTCTGTTTGTTACCAATTTTCTTCCAAGCAATATAATACCTTCTCACCTGTGAACATAACATTTTCCCACATACAAGACACATTGTAGGAGTCCGAGAATCATCTCCAGATGATGCAGGACACGGGAATTGTGAGACAGTGTTGATCAGCTCGGAGTAGTCATGTGGAAGGCTGACCAGCTGATTAATGCGTACCCAAGACCTCATACAACCTTCACTACCGGCACCAGAAACCATGGCTCCTACACGACTGTCACTACACCACCTGAAAAAATTTCAAGTGTACAGAAAATGAATGACAGAAGTTATGAGGTCAAATAGAGTTTTAGATAAACTGCTATTGATATCTGTGTTAAGGTGCCACTTCAATTATAATGTCAAAACATGGGAGTTATTACACCATTATTTGAACTTCATTAAAATGTTCCTGAATATTGATCTCAAAAGTGGGAGGAGAATAAAGACAAAAGACAGAAAATAAGTCCTTACTTGTTGACTAGTTCTGACAGTGCTGGTTCAATGAATGTTGGTCTGAGTTGGTTTACTGCCAGGCCAAGATAGCGAAGGAGACAATAGAACTCGGACTCTGGCACCCAGACAGAAGACTGAAGCTCCTCTGGGGCAGGGACCTCTGTCAGGAAATGGAAGAACAGACCACAGCACCTCAAGAATGGCAAGCTGAAACAAATATAAAATATTAATTTTGTAGGAACATATAAGTTATATACAGTAGTAGATGCTACAAAGCTGTTTGCCATGCAATGCCAAGTAGCTAATTACTGTAGTGTATATCTATAAGAGTTAATACTCTTATAGCAAGATGTAAAACAAGAAAGAACTAATAGGAAAAGAAGGAGAATGTGTTGCCTTTTTTTCCAGCCACCAGTGTTGTCCTTGGGAAAGACTTTGTACAAGTCAAAAGTGAAAATGTGTCCCATAGGCATGACTGCAATTAGGGACAGTGTGGACACAGTACACTGTATACTAAGCCTTTGGTACACAAGAATGCAGCATGGCCGGTACTGCACTCAACCTCATTTATTTCGCCAAGTTGTAAACTTACGTTCCCATTTAAAGCTCGGTGAACTGGGAGTGCCCATGGATTGTACCACTGACACCCTGGAACAGGAGGCGAGCGCTGTATCCACTCGACCACTGCACTAGACAAGTGAAAAGTAACGAATGTGTAACAGTATATCTAGTACTGTGTGACAGCTAGTCTCAGATGTCTTATGTGAAGTGGATACAGACACAACAGAACAGTGTAAAGACCAGTTCACTGATGTAGTACAGCCATCAATGAGATTACGAAAATGGTCGTCCGCAGATGGGGAGGTTAAATGTAAACAAACATGGACGATGATAATCTTCGCTATGCTAGAAGAGAATGATCACGTCAATTACTAATCAAGAGGCCACTTTGTGTTGAATTTTACCTTAATTACTGAATGGCCACTCACTAGAGGTGGCTATACCAAGGGAAGAAAGTCAGTAGCCTGTGTAGGATCCCTCCACTGTTCCTGATAATTTTGTTTTGGGTTATTTGGAAGCCCAGTACAGTAGGGTCTCAAGAGTACGTGAGGATTACATTCCTAGCATCCACGCACAAGTGCAAATTTGCGTATACAGCGGTCCCTCGGTTAACGAGCACAATCCGTTCCAGCATGTTGCTCGTTAACCGAAAAACTTGTTAACCGAAACCATTGTTTCAATGGGTTTTTGGGTAATTGGTTCCAGCTCACAGAAAATTGCCTAAATTCAACAAAAAATGTAGAAAAGCACACTTACTTTGAGGTGTGTATGTAGAAGGCTCCTGGATGATGATGGGAATTAGAATGGGGATGGAGGAGAAGGGAGAAGAGAAGGCATTGGGGTGGAAGAGAAGTCGCCCCATGGCGCCATTTCACCCATAAAATTTTAGTTCTCTTGGTGTAATTCAAGATTATTTTCTTTAAATCAACATTGCACTGCATTATATATTGTCAATATGTAAAATAAATTTCAAAATGACCCATAATTTGCTTGGAAACACAGAAAAAAGGCATTTAGTTGAAGAGTCTCAAGCAAGATGTTACCTCCACTGAAAAGAGAGAGAGACAAACGCCTGTTTGTGTGTTAACAGGCTGGATGGCGTGCCAGAAACTAGTTTCTTTACCTTCAATTATGTTCAATAATTGTTAAAAATGACTAAAAAATATTCATATTAAACTTTTAAAATTATTGAATTGTATAAACTTCTTGATATTTACTAAAATAGTAAGGAATTTAAGCCCTAAAACCGATTACTGTATTGGCGGACTAATACTACAGCTGGTGGACCGCCAAATGCAAGCGAAAACATGTTGAGGTCGGCTTGTAAAAAACTCGTTAATTGAGGGATTGCTCATTAACCGAAGTTAAGAATCTTATGGAAGGTAACTCGTTAACCGAAATCTCGTTAACCGAGGGATCACTGCATGTATTTGGGTCCCCCTGTATATACCTGTATATACGTATAACCCCTTTTTTATACTAAGGTAACCGATGTGCAACTTCAGAGTTCTAAGTCCAATATCTTGATTTTTTTTTCTTCAAAAGTTCTCACAGTAAGTGTTAATTTTCTTTTTCTCACTCTCACCACCATAAATTTTACTCTTAAGGCCATGATTGGGGTAAAGTTCAACGGTAACGAAAAACTTTATGAGCATGAATACCTGGGAAATGTTCATGGGACCAGTGCAAGAGAGAAGGATGCCTCGGCAATAATTTAACCTATGGTACCATACAAACGCTTTAAATGTACAAACAAACACAAATATTAAACCTACGATATCATATGAACATTTGAATGTAAAAACAAACGCTCAAACCATTCTCTGGGCGACGCAACTCAGAGACGTGTGTGACAGCTGCTGTGACATCATATAGGAGGAGGAAGAGTGCAGCTGGGTGGTGAGTTGGGGACGCAGTTACAGCCCACTGCCTTAATACATAGGTTTACTTGCCACACATACACAACCACGCTCTTAATTTTTCTTATTTTACAGTATTGTATTTATTTATTTTTTAAAGCCAAGTTAGAGCAATGTATTCTTTTTTCAAACGAGCACAGACAGGTGATAAACACATTGAGCTAGCGAGAGATGCTGGGTGGGTTGGATAACACAAGAGTAAGACACAAGCGTAAGGGTGGTTCAGGGGGTTAAACACGTATAAGTAGGGTCATGTATTTTGGGATTTTGACTACTGTAGTTTCAGCAACATACAGCAGGGCATCACTACTTTCCATCTGGCCTGACATGATTCAAATCATTTAACTCGCTTGTGTCATTGGGCCCATTAGAAACGGGCAGTAGATGTTCCCGATTCAGACACAACATCCATCAAGCAGGCCGGTATGACATCACCAATGGCTAATGACATAAAAGACAGCCAGCCATGTAAATGGGTTAGTGTGAACCGGGCCTAAGAGATTAGATTATCTTTATTGTTTGCATCTTATTGCAATCATGCACTGTTCTCAACTGTCATTTTTGTCACTTCTGATTCCCTTTTTTGTGCCCAGAGTAAGAAGCAAATTAGTAATAACATAAGAGCCTGATATACTAGCAAGTGGGGGTAAAATGATAAATTAATAACCAAATGCAGGCTTTAGCTACATACCAGCTCTCTTTAACATAACTGAGGAGGTGCTGAGGTTCTACATTAGTTGTTGGCAGGTTGGCTAGTGATCGGCAATGAGTAAACATGGACATAAGCCATGTAGCGTCACTGCTACCAGTAGTACTGGTGCCTTCATCACTCTGTTCATCAGTCTCATCATCAACTTCCATATTTGAGTTGCTTGTGTGACCCTCATAGGTCAGCAGGAGCTGCACCAGGTGAGCCAGGAAGCACACTTGAAGTAGGTGTAGATCCTGTAATAATGGCAGGAAAAGATATAGAATGTAATTTTCTATAAACAAGAAAAGGCAGACAAAAAGTGATTAGCATAGATCTTTTATCCTACTGTTCTGAATAACAAATTGCAAATGGGATAAGTAGCATTTTAAGGTTATTCATGAAACAAGTCAAGCATAACTCAAAATTACTGGAAGACTAAATAAATCTGCTTTCCTATTATAAAACAGCTTGTTCACATCTATTACTACCAATAGTTGCCAAATGTGGCACTGATGCTTCTACAGTATTTACTGTTCCAGTGTTATTCAAATACTGTAGTGAAAGATTATCCATATTCATCTCAATCAATTCACTTAGGTGCAAGCTATTTTCCCAAGTTGAGCTGTTCTAAATGCTGTGCTCCATCCTCATCTGAAATTTGCTGTGAACCAAAGAGGAGGAGGATGTGTGTGTTGTTACCTGGGGAGACGTCAATCATGCTAAAGGTTGCCACGGAGGGTGTAGAGGTACAACATTTACACAATTCAATTAAAGTAATGTACAAAGTGTGATTATTAATACAGTGGCTGGTCTACTGTTATGAGTGGAATGTTGACTGTACAGATGAATCATTAATACTGTTATAGGGTTGACAGAGTGTATGGTCTTTATTCTCTGTATCTGATACACATTCATATATAATCACACCACATAAGCAAAGAACTGAAGAAGATATTGAAGAAGATGAAGAAGAGATGCTTAATGCATTAAATAATTACTGTAAACTATTATAGGGTTGCCATATTTGAACATTAAAAAAAGAGGACGTTCCTGAAGACATCATGCCCACCCGGCACACACTTTGGTGCTATGTAACTTTGATGCAGCCGTGACCGTTTTATGCTCCGGAAAAGTACAACAAATCGTAAGCACTAGCTGTGGCACCAAGTGACAAACCCACAACAAAGACTAAGATCAAACACTGTCACTGCAGGTTAAAGACTGGCCAACCACCGATCACCATCAGAGTTGTCGACACACGTAAATAATATAGCGAAAGTGGCTAGATTTATGGTTGAAAATTGCTAAAATGCCTTAAATGCAGGACACGAAAAACATATGCTACAGTGTAAAAAAAAGCCATAATAAAAAAATGGTATACTTTCAACATTTCATTTATGGCTGTAACAGCAATAAATACAAAAAAGCAAAAACAAATATAATAATGCGCGTGGCTGAAGAACAAGAAAAAGCAGTACATGGCACTACAGTTTACCCCAAAAACTGCTAGCAGCTAAGTTGACAACACCGTACAGGCATACACGTGACTTTGTAGAGGATTCCTCCCCTACAAGCGCCGTTTGTCGCTGAGTAGCCGAACCTTCTCGAATTCCCCAGCCTACGCCTCCAGCGCCGCCTACGGAGCGGGGGTCAACTATCAACCCACGCCTACCCCCGCCTTATAAGACCTGACACCGATGTGACCAGCCTCTTTCTACCCGCTGCCACCAGCAAGCAAGACCTCCTCCTCCTCCGCGCCAGCCTGGCGGCTCCCGCTCCCGCAGGCGACCTTGGCGTCCCTCAAGCTGAGTGTCCTCACTCTGGGCACCCTCTCCAACCAGCTCTCTCTACTCAATGCTTGTTACCATGCTGCTTACCCAGCAACAAACTGCACTGTACATCCAATACAATATGTATACAGTGAGCACATTGTGAGTTTCCTTTCTCCATCCCATCCTGAGTGTGAGCCAATATCTCATAACCCCACAACTTATCAGCTGACGAAAACTGAACAAGATCTCTACTGTTTCCACCTCCCCTCTCTCACAGTCTCTCTCTCTCTCTCTCGTCATTACAGTTTCAGGTTTCTTTCCGTGGAGAAAATGATGGAAGCTGAAATTCCGGACTTTTGAAGAATTTTAAAATTTCCTTCCGGATGAAGATTTCGAGACCTAATGGAGGACATGTCCGGGAAAATACGGATGTATGGCAACCCTAAACTATTATGTAAATACAGTATAACATTAATCAAATCTTTAATAAATCATTAAGCCCAACAAATTATATTTAACCCTCTAACTTTTGAGTAGAGTGAATCAAGAAGTACAGAAACCTCAGAGCCAGGGAGGATATGAGAGAAGAAAATGATGCATGACAATACACTGGGAACCATAGATGATAATTTAGCTTTTAGCAACAATGAAATGCAGTATGCACTTTACATAGATAATAATCTGAAGGGACAAACCTGCTGACAACCAATGGCTATTCCTTGAATGTTGGGGAATATGGATGGCAATCCCAAGCTGAGTGTGACCAACAGGCTAAAGGTGTCCCACTCAACCACACAAGGCGCTGCCTCCCCTCCCTCCAGAATGTAACTTAGAAGGCGAACGACAGCACCTTCAATCATCTGTAATACAGTACATGAATGAAATATAATATATATATATATATATATATATATATATATATATATATATATATATATATATATATATATATATATATATATATATATATATATATATATATATATATATATATATATATATATATATATATATACTGAACGTGTGTGGAGGCAGTGGGCTGTAACTGTGTCGCCGACTAGCCAGCCCACCTGCCTCGTTTATTGTTACATGTAATCAAACTATAAAAGTCGTGAAATAATCATTACAAGACTTTAATGTGGCTTAGATACTATGATAATATAATATTAAATTATAAAATAAGATAAAATGAAAAGCATGGGTGGGTTGCGGAGTATGTGTGGGAAGTGAAGGTGTGTAGAGGTGATGGGCTGTAATTGTGTTGCTGCGCTCCCTCCCTCGATGTGACATAATGGCATGGTGCAGTGCAGTAAGGCAGCAACCACATGTGTGAGTAAGCTGGTTGACTGCCTAGTTGAAAAGTGTCACATTGCTCAGAGGATGGTTTACGTGTGGAAGGAGTTATTTTCTGTGAATAAAATACAGTGGTCCCTCGGTTAACGAACACAATTCGTTCCAGAAGGTCGTTCGTTAACCGAAACCATTGTTTCAATGGGTTTTTGGGTAATTGGTTCCAGCTCACCGAAAATTACCTAAAGTAAAAAAAAAAAAAATGCAGTACAGTACACTTACTTTGAGGTGTGCATGTAAAAGGCTCCTAATTGATGATGATGATGGTAATTAGAAGTGGGGGTGGAGAAGAAGGGAGAAGAAAAGGCAGTGGGGTGGAAGAGAAGTCACCCCATGCTTCATGCCGACATTTCACCCATAAAATTTTAAGTTCACTTGGTGTAATTCAAGATTATTTTCTTTAAATCAACACTGCACTGCATTATATATTGTCAATATGTAAAATAAATTTCAGAATGACACAATTGTACTGTAAAAACGTTAAAATAGTTTATGTTCAAGAGAGTCTCAAGCAAGATGCTTCCTCCTCTGAGCAGACACAAACTGACGCCATTCTGGGGGAGTCAAGTGGCTGTTTGGTGTGCTAAAAACTAGTTCCCTGTACTTCAATTATGTTAAATAATTGTTAAAATGACTAAAAATTTTAATAAAAGAATTGGAAAATTATTGAATAGTACAACTTTCTTGATATTTTCTCAAAATGTAACGAATTTAAGCCTTAAAACTGATTACTGTATTGGCGGACTAATACTACAGCTGTTGAGCAGCAGGAGAAAACATGTTGGGAAAAATTTGTAAGGAATTCGTGAACAGAATTTTTTTCGTTAACCGAATTTAATATTCTTATGGAAGGTAATTTGTTAACCGAAATTTCGTTAACCGAGGGATCACTGTATGTGTACATAATTGTATTTTATGATGTGATGTGTATCATCAATTTTATTGTTTATCATTGCATTTTTTTAATTTTTGATGTATGCAATTTGAAACTTATTCAAATTCGGCTAACCTTGTGCTCACTAAATCATTTAACTCTGAACCACATCTTTTATAAAAAGTGGAATAAGTGTTAAAGAACTTTCCAATAAATATGGTATCTCATCCCTGTTGTGTGCAGTATTCAAACCAGATCAAGAAGACAGGGCAGGGCAAAAGAAAGGGAGAGAACATGAGAGGAAGAAAGAGAAAAGTAGGAATTAAAAGAAGCAAGAGGGAGGGAATGACGTGCAGGGAGGAGAGGGAGACAAGAGAAAGAGAGGTAAGTGGAGGACATGTTTGTTGAAACAAGCATGACCTTTACCAAGCTCCAAGTTAAGCAAAGTTCTTTCTGATAATGTCCAAGAAACTTCATCATGTAAGTTTCAGCTACCCTTTATTTGCAGTATGAATTACATGAGAAAAAAAAATGAGATTTCCATCAAAAATCACTTATTATTTACCGTACTTGTTTACATTCAGGTTAATAGGTTGTAACTTTATTCTATTTATCTATTTTGTTGACCTACACCTTCCAGGGACATAACTACATTTTATATTTATCTTATTCAATGTCATAACATTATTCATTTATCTCACTTAATTCTATACTTAATGAGGACTGTAAGTTTATTTTTTCATATCTGTACTGTATGTTTAGTATTTAATCATTATCATTGTTTACATGTGAGTGAGCTGTAATTCACCTGTTTCTTCTTCACACACAAGGGAACATATGCTGCAAATTTGACAAGGGCAGCGAGGCAGTCACGCTGGCGAGCTGATAATGCAGTAAGGAGGGCACGATTGGCATTTCGCTGTGTCTCTTCCAAGGTATGTATAGTGTAGGCTGCACTGTCCCATACCATGAGGAATACGTCTACTTGATGCATTGGGGTTTACACCAAGGCCGCGGCTGTGGATTAAGAACGTATAAGCCATCATAAATGAATTAAGAGTTAAACTATACTGTAAAGCATTAAATTTCAAAATTATGTTCAACATCTTATTTTTATTATTTTAACTTATATGAAATTCATGCATTTTTTCTACTACAGTGTAGTATGGCAGCAACCAGAAGTAACAATCGCCCTCTCAATTCGTCTAGTAGTTGTAACAGATGTGTTTCATTATGCTGTACTCTTCCACAACTTGTCCTAGGTGAAGCTGTAAATGTAATGCTGTAAAGTAATTGAAAAACTCACTCCCTATAATTACAAACTCACCATGTAAACAGCATGGGCGAAGTTAGACATCATTTCTGACGTATGGCTGGGGAAGGTGGGTATGGTGGTGGCTGCAGGGTTGTTGAAGAGTACACTAAAAGCCTCTGCAGTTTCAGGAGATGCGATTGACATGAGGTCAACAGCTACAGTGGGTAAAGAAGGAGGTGTCCAAGTGCCCTCAGTAAAAGAGCCGTTTTCTTCTTCCTCTTCCTTTCCATCACCTCCCTACCCATCACATCACACACCATAGTTAGTTTAATAACGTAAAATAAAATAATCTTTTCATGCTTAACTGTACCTGTACTGTATATACTATAAATACACACACACACACATATTATTAAAAATTTTACTATTAACATATAATGTCACTGAAATTATAAAAAAAAAAAAATTAAAATACCAGATTATTAATACCGGTCTTTAAATTTCTCATGTCGGAACACACGCTATGTGCATACCGTACTTACAGAACAATGTTTAAAATTCCACAATATCACAGCCTAAATCCTTATATACATGTAAAATAGCTTAAGAGAAAAGAAGAAATATAATGACAAAATACAGTAAATGAAAGTAAAAAATAAGTCATGAGGTAAATAAAATACAGTCTCTCCCCGACTTACGACGGGGTTAGGGACCCAATTCCAGGTCGTAAGTCGAAAATGCGAAAATAATACATACAAAATCTAAAATGGGTGTCTCTTTTTCTTCTCAGCACCACAAAACTCTCACTTTTAAGCATGCCAGCCATTTTAAATGGAATTACAAACGAAAATTTTGTCAGTACACAGTGCAATCACTAACGCCGGGACTTGAAAATAATGAATTTGAAATAATTTTGGTACGACTGGGGCGGTCTGATGTCCGGGTAGGTTGAGGAGTGGCAGCACAGTAAATTTAAAGTTTAACCCGCTCGTATTCGGCGGGCGTTCATAAGTTGGGGACCCCCTGTACTGCAGAATAAAACTATAAAACATACACTTAGATTTCACATATTGGTGTAAAAATTTAAATAATTTTAGAAAAAATAAGTACAGTACAATAATTTGAATTGGAACCACTTCTGTAAAAAATGTAAAGAATTGCTTTTATGAAAATGTATTTTTAGTTAGTGAAGACATGTTTCTTTACAAAGTCCTGCTATATTTACTGTACATCCATCTACCTCATTCTATTCAATGCTAAACTGCATGGAACACATGTACACTAACTACCTCATAATAAACTATACTGTACATAAACATCCAGTAGCTGTCCCAAACACCCTAGTGCATATACCTTCTGACAATTGGATATGACCAAAACTCTCCAAAATATCTAGAAAAAATACAATGATTACAAGCCTCATTCAAGGTATTACTGGGTTATATTTACATAAGTTCACCAACTATTGCTGTTTGTTTGAGTTATAGCAGTTCTACCCAAGACAACACAAATACAGTAACAACAACTGGATGAGGACAACAGCTGCTATTCTCCATCTTTACAATAACAATATTGTTAATTACATATGATGATCATTGACAATCAATCATGTGGGGTAATGATGATGTACTAAGTAGCAGTGAAAGCTGGAGGGATGATGAGACATTAACTATTGTACTTAAAGAAAAATTTATTATCTAACTTGTTGGTGACCTTACTGTGATACATCTTAATACAAATTTAGATTATTATTCACTGATATTTGATGGGACTGATTTTGTTCATACAAACAGACACACATTCAGATTTCCCACTTAAACAACACTGTACAAAAAAAGTAGTACATCCTTAGTACGGAGACCAGTTACGATTCTCCTTTTTGGAACCCTTTCCAAACTTTAAATCAATGCTCACACAGTGTCAGAAGGTTAGTACTGTATATATGAATATCGTACTGAAAGCATTATACTTTGAAAGGCAGAAGTGCATAATTCACTGACATTTCACTGCTAATCTTTTGCACTCAAGCTAATTTTCAATAGAGCGATGTCAATTTCAAGGGCCCTTATTGTGTGTGACCTTGGGACCTCAAAACTGAGATATGAGCATGGATGATGAAAACAGTAGATGGAAGCACAAGGTGATGATGACTCAAGACTGTACAATAAGGGATACTCATTCATGGTTGATTAATTTTTCTCATAAGGTAAGAGGATTGCAGGTGCACAGGAAGTATGAGAGACCGATGTGCAACAAGAAGAAAGCATGTACAGTAGATCCAAAGACAGGTGTGGAGTATACATACACTCTCTCTAATATAAGCAAGAAAGAGGAAGTGAGATACTGTTTAAACACTGTACCAGGTGTGTTCAAGTACAGACAGACAAACTATATAGTGGGAGAAAATGGGAGGTATTACAATAAAGAATAAATGGGGGAAGTGGAATAAAGGAATAGAATGGGCAAAATAAATTTGTAGTATTGAAATTGAAGTGGCCTGGGAACTTCTGTAAAGGTGACCCCCTCACGGTGTGAGGCGAGGCAGAAAAGATATGTGCGAGATTTTTTCATGAACACCTTGCAGCTAGTGCAAGACAACTTCTGGATATAAAATTTATAAATCCTGGACCATTCTGCTCCAAATAATTAATCTAATTAAGAACTGTATATTAATGACTATACATACATACAGTATAATAAATAAATGTAATGGAAGCCCCTCGAAATTGAGGATGGGTCGGCCCAAGGGCCTCCTAGGCGTGAATTTGTTAAGGTGTACAAGCTGTCACCAACACAACAACCACACCCTAAGTTAACGAGCTGCATGGCCCAGTGCCACGGAATAGTCCGAGAAGACTGGACAGCTCGCCAACTGCACTGGCTAGCCATTACCCTGAAATACGATCCACAAATCAATTAACATCCAGGTTCCCAATTACTGCTGGGTAGAGAGGCAAATAATGGGGTAAAGAAACTTCCCCCATAGTTTCACCCTGGCCGAGGTCTAACCTCACTGCATATATATATATATATATATATATATATATATATATATATATATATATATATATATATATATATATATATATATATATATATATATATATATATATATATATATATATATATATATATATATATATATATATATATATATATATATATATATATATATATATATATATATATATATATATATATATATATATATATATATATATATATATATATATATATATATATATATATATATATATATATATATATATATATATATATATATATATATATATCCTTCACAACCAGACAAAGGAAACAGTGTTACACACATTTTAATACATTGCTTTGTCTGACACACACACACACACAAATATAATACTTATAATAGGAAATAAATGGAGGTAAACGTATTTAAACTTTTTGTGTTTCTTGTAGAGTGGGAGTCTGGACCAGCGTGGCGGTCTGCCCCTCTGCCCCCATCCCTTGCATATGCCTTAGTAATGCCGCTGTCCCCAAACTTGTGGAGGACCCTCCACCTCCAGCCAACCCAACCACTAAAATGGAGGTATTTCCCCCAGCACCCATGGGGCTGGCTGTTGCCGGCACACTTACAGCGCCGTGGGTAACCATGGCACCTGATGTTGGCACGACACCTCGCAGTGGCGCTGTCCATCTGCCCATCGTCAGCATGATTACTTTCCTCCTCGGGACGAGCTCCAGACATCACCACTGTCTGAATGCCATGCGAACACACAATTAACAATCGGAACCAATGCAACTGAACTAGCATCTTGAACCACAAAATCTGGTGATCCTGTACAATCAAGGTAAATTTAAAAATTGATCCAGATCTAACTGAACTCTCGGGACAAATTTAATTACTGATCAATACAGATTAATGAAGTACTAGTAAGTGTGCAGGTCACAGTGTTCGTGGCCCATCCAGATCCACCTTGTTTAGCAAAACTTCTTGAAAGCTAGACACACAATACCAGTAGATGTTAGTGAAAACTCTTAACCATTAATAAACACATAACTCATTAACAGTGAGGATCGGTAATCAGTACTATAAATTAATCTACAGTGATCTTCCAGAACTTTTTATTAATATTAATGATGCAAATACGGGATCTTTTATCACTGCTGATTAAACATGATGCACACTCCCTCTGTGATGTAGCATGAAAAATAAGAAACTTATATCTACATACACTATAAATATGAGCAAAAATACCCAAGGCAAGTATCCATATTATTCCATCCAACTATACCCCACTCTGTTGCAGCCAACCTAGAAGGCCGTTTCATACTGGATGCAATGCTAGCTATGCTGCTGATTTTGAATTGCTTCTGTTTTTCAGTGAGGCTGTTCAGACCGGATATGTACCATCCCAGATTGCCTCCTCCGCGAATTTTTCTCAGTGTGGCTTTCACGCATTAGAGCATTTTGGCAGTCTGGGAAGACAGTTGAGAGAGACGGCAGCTAGTGCCCTGCTTCAAGGTCATTCCTAACCATATTACCATTTACTGTTGTGTGTCATTGCACGTGGACCGTGGAGCAACTTATTGAAGAAGTGAAGAATCATACATGCTTATATGACATGACTTCATATAATTACAAAGACATGTTTGTATCTTGTTTTTTTATATCCTTTTCAATTATTAACCAGTACGGCTGGCTTTGGCAATTTTTCGACTTATGAATTTTGACTGAAATGGACTTATACTATCATATAAAGAAGGAAGACATCATTTAACAACTCCCCAAACCATGGAAGGTGTAGTTACGCCCATGGGTGAACGTGTCGCGGTGTTGAAAATTTACGCGTAGAACCCGTCGAATTTTACGGGTGTTGACGTTTTTCATCGAGTGAGAGTGGAATTATGCTAATTACCGTAAGTTTTCACTTTCTGTAGCTGTTTTTTCTTCACTTATTGTCTATCTCGATTTCGAAACATCGATATATTTATCCTTTTTCGTATTATTTACACTGCTTTCATAATTTTCACCAATACATATTTTTTTTTATGACTTTATAAGTACTGTATTTATTTTTTATTTGGTTTCACTTTTGCATTATAAGTATAGATTTTACAGTACTTATTCATTTATCTCGAAAGTATATCGAGGTAGCTGTTGTTACCGCTTACGCTGTATTTAATAGAACTTCATTGAACTGAGTGTGGGACAATCTGAAATATTGTTCAAATTTTTCTTCATCACCTAAAAGCTCCTGTACAAGACGACATTATTACCAAAGTTTGGTCTTTTCACATTTGTTTCATGTTTACCCAATTTTTTTTCTCTTAAGACATTCCTAGAATCAGCAGTGAAATTTCCTCCTCCTCCTCCTCTTCCTCATAAAACCACTGTGCACTGCCTTCCATCTTGACTGATGCAACAATACAGAGTCTCTCTCTCGAAATACAGTACATGGCTTGCATATTATCCGACATGAACACTCACATACAGTAGTAAGCACCGTGACCAAAAACCACAGCATCCGGTGTGAAACAGCCTCAACTCACTTGTTTCAATCTACCACTACTCAATTATCCTAGTCATTATCTCCTATTTCTGAATGATGAGGACCACATCCTAGAGAACAAATTCATAATTATGGCTGAAAATCATGATCCAGAATATAAAGTTAAGGCCATTATGAAACATTAACTTTACTGGGGCTATTACAGGTTTGAGTGTGAAATCAGGCCATGACTCTACATGGTATGTTTCTGGACTTGGGTTTAAAAGCTTGCAAGTTAAATTTGCAACCCCCTAACTGGAAGGGTCAGACTGCTTTTAGCTAGTTCAACTGAACAATGGCAAAAATATGGCTGCCAAAACAGCTTTGAAACTCTTTACAGTAACCTATAGTAACAAAATGCATTCACTAATCAGCAGTTTTATGGTGGCAATTCATATGAGAGCATGGTTTAGAGCTTTGCTAGTTTTCCTAGTCAGACCTGACTAAGTCATTACTACCAAGACATTACTATGCTTGGAGATACAACAGTACTACAGTGCTGTAGTGACTGAAACATAATACCCAAGAGCATTTTCATTATCCTACTCACATAAGTCTTAGCTTCCCTATTACTATAGGCTTAACAGTATTGCTGACAATAACAAAGCTGCATCTGTATAATAGTAGTACTTCCCGATCGCACAATCACGTCCTATACAACACTCAAGTACCACTACATTACTCTATTACCTCCTTTCTGCGGGAGATATAGTATTGTGGTAAAAACTGAAAAGCTGGAAGAACAGTTGCCACAGTGAGCTGTCTTCCTAACCTGTCTGGTAGTGATATAGCAGCAACTAATGTACTGTTATATCAATATGGACAATGGTATTGATTCTATAATCAACTACTGTAGATGAACTAGATGAAAAAAAAAAAGTTTGTCAACTCAGTGGTGACTCTGCCCTCCTGTACCCAGGAGTAAGTTGGAGCAGTTTCTGCTGTATTCTGACAACAGAAAAAAAAAAAAAATGCGTATTGCCATACTATTTCAAATTTTTATCTCGGCAGTAGCCATGGGTCCCAAGAATATGGCAGGTGAGGAAAAGGCTCACATCCTTGCCCTGTTGTGTGAAAATGTTCCTCTGAAGGGAAACCAGGATGAGGCACAACAGCAATTAAGACTAAGTGCACAACAATACTGTTCTACCTCAAAAATCATCTCTTGGGAGGTCCAAAAAAACCTTTAAGGCCACTGACATGCTAATGAGATGAAACGTTCTGAAGAATCCAACAAGGGCTGCAGCAGAAATGAAAATCCCTATCACAACCTGCTTCAGGTTGTCAGAAACAAATGATTCAATATGGACTGGTGTTAAATCAATGGGAAACATGGCAAGGCATTAAATAATATACTGTACAGTACTGTAGTATAAAAGGTTCATGTGTTTTATAAAAACAAATTATCCTTCACTCATGTTGTTATTAAAAGTTATGTAAAAAGGTTATAGTATCAGTATTTTTTGCAGACACTGTAGTTAACCAAGCAACAAATTTCAGAACTTCCGAACAGTTTTACTCACTTAGTGTATCATGAAAAAGTTTTACATAATTCTATTCCTCACCTAAGGCTAATCTACACACAACTGCTAAACACAATCACAATAAAGCAGTAATTGTTGAACTGTTTTAGTAAAAATTATTACATATACATGGACACATTAAGTAAAACAGCTTTATCAATGAAAGGAACAGCACCAATCATGTGTCACACTTATGGCCACTATGCACCTCACAAGGAACTTACCTGAGATTGCAGTACACATATTATAGCACTGTGATGCACTAAAGAATATCCCAAATAAAGACAAGCATCAATGAAACTTGTTAAACATGATGCACAATACCAAAATATGAATCAAGGAGGTAAAATCATCGTCAGTCTACCTCATATCTGATTGCTTGTACTGTACTGCATCTACCATGCACTGTACTGCATCTGCCATGTACTGTACTTGGTATGCACTCTTGTATCTGATATTGTTGAACACTTTTAAAAATTGTATTTATGGAACCTTTACACAAGAGTATTTTACTTACTTGGTTTCACATCTAAGATAGAATTAATGGCCATAATGTTTATTTTCTAAAATTTAATACCTGTCGTCTTATCAAAAGAATTTCATCCTGCAAACTGTTTAACCTTTATTACCTGGTACAGTATACACCAACATCTTCCTAATGTTCCAGACAAATTGCAATTGTAATATCCTATTAAAAAAATACTAATCTGGTTTAACCCCAGCTTTACCATGTGCTTGAATACCTCCACTTGTCCAATGTTCTGTATAATACTATTGTCTAATCAACATAGTTACAGTGCTTCCTTACAGTTTCCTCTTAGTTTTCTGGAAAATATCTGGTCACTGAAATGTCTTGGTGAAATACTGTACAGGTATATTCCCGAAAACAAACGCCTGTATAACCTACGACTTGCATAAGTAAGGATTACATATTAAGGGAAATACTCTGCAAGTTTTGTTACCCCGGAGATCTGATGATCAGGAGAGGAGCGGCAAAGCTATTTTGAATTTTGCAGGTGGTGGCATGGTGCGAATTCTTGACATGAGAGGGCTCTGCGCTCTACCTCCGACTCATTCCTGCCTCTTTGCTCTTGTTTACACTTACCACGCGTCTCTGACTTGTATTTTTGTTGTTGTTTTCAACTTTGTGAGTTATTCAATCATGCCTCAACATCTCAGTAATAGTTCAGGGGCAGTTTGATGGGATGTGATAAGGCATAATAAGAGTGGTGAGGGACCAGCAGAGATTGGTAGACTTCAACTTGCCACCCTAAACCATCTCTACCACTCAAGACAGGTAAATAAATCTCAAATTATGCTTTATATTGCTTATTTAAGGGTTATTATGCTTGATTTATAAGTATGCTTTATTTTGTTGCTTGACTGTGCATGACATATATATATATCAAGGGTAGATGGGAGTTCTAGGAGGGTGGCCGATCCCTAACCCCTGAATTTGTTATAATCTTATGGGATTAATTGCTTCAATAACCGTTGATTTATTAACCAACGACTTTCCCGATCCTTATATGCGTCGGTTATTGGGGTATGCCTGTACAGGGACCACTTTGTCTTGCAAGCATGAAGTGACCAATTAACTATAAAGGGATGAAAAAAGCATTACATTCTCGGTGAAGCTTGAAATTTATATGCTGTATTTTGCAGAAGTGATTCACATAAATGGTAAGTAAATCTAATAAAAAAGTAAGTCACATAAACCTCCATTTATTTCTATTCTTTTATAACATTTCTAAGCAATTGATTACCTTACTACAGTATACAATACCCTACTTTAACTAGTATCATTTAAAAAATGCAGTGCTATTTTTACAATTAACACCTACCTTCCATATTTAGTATTTTACTCCATTTTAAGAAGGTAAAATATAATGCTGCACAAGAAAAATGTTTGGTGCATGCATTTCCTGTAGGTCATGAGGGCTGGACTAACCTTGTACTTGAGTATGGTGTGTAGTCCCCTCAACCAATCTGTTATAGAGATGCTTGGTGGGGGGGGAGGCTGATCTTGGTTCTGGAGGCTGGCCGCTGTGCTTGTGACGCCAGGCAGCAGTGGAAGAGCAGTGTTGCACAGAGCCTCACACAGAGGGCACAAGTACTCGGACTTCTCTATGTCAAAGCTCAGGTTTTGACGAAAACTGGAAAGGTCATAGAAGACTAAAGTACCTGCATTAAATTTCTTCCAGTCATGTGTGAAGTACAGTATGTCAGCAAAATAATGTGCAGTATGTGTGCATGCATGTATAAGGATATAGGTATGAGTGTGTTAGTATAGATATGCAAGTACAGTACTATGTACTGTGTGTGTGTGTTTATATACAAGTAAACGTTTGTGTATGTACAACTAGAGATAAATGTATGAGTACACACGCATGCACAAACACACACACTTGTTTAAATACAACTGCACATGTAGAATGGTGGTGTTTGCATATGGACGTGTAGTACCTGGGGTAGTGGTGGAGTGGGTGGTGACGGGGGGCATTGGCACTTTCCTCTCAGGCATGCATCCTCCTACATACAAAACACCTGATCACCCCCCCATCTTCTCCCTCCCTACCTCTCCTCACTCTCTCTACCTTCCTTCCTTACCTACCCCTCCTCACTCTCTCTCTACCCTTCCTTCCTTACCTACCTCTCCTCCCTTCCCCATCTCTACCTACCTACAGTACCTCTTTTTGCTCTCTACCGCCCTCCCTCCTTTCTCTACCCTCCCTTCCCTGGCCTCCCCAAAGTGAAAACTGTGCTCTTGGCTGGACCATTACCTACAACGCCTTGCACACCCAGTCATGACACAACTGACATGGCCGCCCCCACACTCTCCTCCCTTCCCGTCTCCTCCAGCTACTGATAATGTCAACCACACTTTGTCTGTGTCTTGCCTCCCCTGTCTCTACCACCACTTAATGGCTTATCACCTGGGTCAATTGGTCTCTCTAACCTGTCCGCAACCACCATCATCCACCACAACTACCATCATCCATCATCTTCACCCACCAACAACAATCATTACCGCCAACACACACAATTAAAATGGTATCGAAATGGCACTTGCACTACTTTCTCTGTCCAGTCGTTTCATTAAGAACACAAATGGTCTGCTGTAGGTAAGGTTTGTGGCTAATTCATATTTATTCTAAGGTAAGGTAAGGTAAGGTAAGGTAAGGTAAGGTAAGGTAAAGGTAAGGTAAAGGTAAAGATAGGTAAAGGTAAGGTAAGGTAAGGTAAGGTTAGGTTTAAGGTCTGTGTGGGTAATATATGTTATTGTAAGGTTGGATTGGGTTTAAGGTGTTTGTGTTTAATTCATGTTTACTGTAAGATGCAATCAGATCACGTTTATTAGAACCTGATTGACACACCTGACTCTCACCAACCAGCAGGACCAGGTCAGTAAACCAACCCCTAAATGTGAACCACTGGGTGAAATGAACTTGTACCGATAATAAAAATAATTAAAAACAAAATCTTTCATAAGGTCAAATAATTTGTTCTTCACAAAGTAGCCTAAGTAAAGTGGTTCGTGCATAAAAGCGAATCATAAGTTAGCCGTTTTTACCTATTGTCTACTTTACTCTTCCTTCTTTTCTTTTTGTTTCTTCTACTTACTGTGTGTGTGAACATGAGTTGCAAAAAGCTGTCTGTTGAGTAACCAAAAACTCTGTCAGTCTGTCATCACAGGTCGGTACAAGTCAAAACCTTCCTACAATAACCAACATAATTTCACGGAACTCGGCGCCAGGTGTAATTATAGGAAGGTTTTGACGGCTACATACCATGACAATGCCACCGGCTAGACCAGGAGGAGAGATTATCATCACGTAACACTACATTTATTTTGGTAATGTCAAAAGAAATAAAGAACTCCAAAGATAAAAATAAATAAATAAAAAGCTGTTGGCATATGAAAGTTTGAGAACGATGGATTACAAGACAGGGGTGTTGAAAGTTCAGGTAGTGGGGAGATGTTTTTATCGCCCCTGGTCACACAACTCACTCCAACTAGGGACTTACTTTTCACACCCCACCAAAATCACAGCGCGCACTAGCTTCTTGTCTGGTGAGGGGCAGAGGCAAGGCTAGGTTGTGATAGGTGAAGAGAGGTTGTTCACGAAGTCCGCCTCGTTAGTGCGAGCTCACACGCACACACACTCAAACATACACACATTCCACCACCTTCCATCATACCTTGACACACATCTAACCTGACGGGGGTGAAATTTTTGCTACATTCGTGCACAGTTTCATTCCGCATATCATCATCACCATCACCGCCACAGTCATCACCATCACCGCCACAGTCATCATCATCACCGCCACAGTCATCATCATCACCGCCACAGTCATCATCATCACCGCCACAGCCATCACCATCACCGCCACAGTCATCATCATCACCGCCACAGTCATCATCATCACCGCCACAGTCATCATCATCACCGCCACAGTCATCATCATCGCCACAGTCATCATCATCACCGCCACAGTCATCATCATCACCGCCACAGTCATCACCATCACCGCCACAGTCATCATCATCACCGCCAGTCATCATCATCACCGTCACGATCATCATCACCGCCACAGTCATCATCATCACCGCCAGTCATCATCATCACCGCCACAGTCATCATCATCACCGCCACAGTCATCATCATCACCGCCACAGTCATCATCATCACCGCCACAGTCATCATCATTACCGCCACAGTCATCATCATCACCGCCACAGTCATCATCACCCGCCGCCACAGTCATCACCATCACCGCCACAGTCGTCATCATCATCACCGCCAGTCATCATCACCGCCACAGTCGTCATCATCATCACCGCCACAGTCATCATCATCATCACCGCCACAGTCATCATCACCATCACCGCCACAGTCATCATCACCATCACCGCCACAGTCATCATCACCATCACCGCCACAGTCGTCATCATCATCACCGCCACAGTCATCATCATCATCACCGCCACAGTCATCATCACCGTCATCATCATTACCGCCACAGTCGTCATCATCATCACGCCACAGTCATCATCATCATCACCGCCACAGTCATCATCATCATCACCGCCACAGTCATCATCATCACCGCCACAGTCATCATCATCACCACAGTCATCATCATCATCACCGCCACGTCATCATCACCGCCACCGCCACAGTCATCATCACCGCCACAGTCATCATCCATCACCGCCACAGTCATCATCATCATCACCGTCACGTCATCATCATCACCGTCACAGTCATCATCATCACCGCCACAGCATCATCATCACCCTCATCTCCACCGTCATCATCATCACCGCCACAGTCATCATCATCATCACCACCACAGTCATCATCATCACCGCCACAGTCATCATCATCATCACCGCCACAGTCATCATCATCACCGCCACAGTCATCATCATCATCACCGCCACAGTCATCATCATCACCGCCACAGTCATCATCATCACTGCCAGTCATCATCATCACCGCCACAGTCATCATCATCACCGCCACAGTCATCATCATTACCGCCACAGTCATCATCATCACCGTCACAGTCATCATCATCACCGCCACAGTCATCGTCATCACCGACACAGTCATCATCATCATCACCGCCACAGTCATCATCATCATCCGCCACAGTCATCATCATCACCGCCACAGTCATCATCATCATCACCGCCACAGTCATCATCATCATCACCGCCACAGTCATCATCATCACCGCCACAGTCATCATCATCACCGCCACAGTCATCATCATCATCACCGCCATTCATCATCATCATCACCGCCACAGTCATCATCATCACCGCCACAGTCATCATCATCACCGTCACAGTCATCATCATCACCGCCAGTCATCATCATTACCGCCACAGTCATCATCATCACCGTCACAGTCATCATCACCGCCACAGTCATCATCATCACCGCCACAGTCATCATAACCATCACCGCCACAGTCATCATCATCACCGCCACAGTCATCATCATCACCACCACGGTCATCATCATCATCACCGCCACAGTCATCATCATCATCATCACCGCCACAGTCATCATCATCATCACCGCCACAGTCATCATCATCATCACCGCCACAGTCATCATCATCATCACCGCCACGGTCATCATCATCATCACCGCCACAGTCATCATCATCACCGCCACAGTCATCATCATTACCGCCACAGTCATCACCACTCATCATCATCACGCCACGTCATCATCATCACCGCCACGTCATCATCATCACCGCCACAGTCATCCCCATCACCGCCACAGTCATCATCATCACCGCCACAGTCATCATCATCACCACCACAGTCATCATCATCATCACCGCCACAGTCATCATCATCATCACCGCCACAGTATCATCATCATCACCGCCACAGTCATCATCATCCACCACAGTCATCATCATCACCGCCACATCATCATCATCACGCCGCCACAGTCATCATCATCATCACCGCCACAGTCATCATCTCATCACCGCCACAGTCATCATCATCACCGCCAGTCATCATCATCACCGCCACAGTCATCATCATCACCGCCACAGTCATCATACCATCACCGCCACAGTCATCATCATCATCACCGCCACAGTCATCATCATCATCACCGCCACAGTCATCATCATCATCATCACCGCCACAGTCATCATCATCACCGCCACAGTCATCATCATCACCGCCACAGTCATCATCCCCGCCACGTCATCATCATCATCACCGCCACAGTCATCATCATCATCACCGCCACAGTCATCATCATCATCACCGCCAGTCATCATCATCACCGCCACAGTCATCATCATCACCGCCACAGTCATCATCATCACCGCCACAGTCATCATCATCATCACCGCCACAGTCATCATCTCATCACCGCCACAGTCATCATCATCATCATCACCGCCACAGTCATCATCATCACCGCCACAGTCATCATCATCACCGCCACAGTCATCATCATCATCACCGCCACAGTCATCATCATCATCATCACCGCCACAGTCATCATCATCACCGCCACAGTCATCATCATCACCGCCACAGTCATCATCATCATCACCGCCACAGTCATCATCATCATCACCGCCACAGTCATCATCATCATCACCGCCACAGTCATCATCATCATCACCGCCACAGTCATCATCATCACCGTCACAGCTATAGTTCATCCACATTCCAAGTATTTCCCAATCGCTAGTTCCACCCAAGACTTATTTTTACTACCGTCTCCCACACACGAGCTGTCGACCTAACAATGAATGTAACTGAAAACTTACCCCGAGGTAGCTAAGAACTCGTGATGTCGTAACTAAAAACTTATACTGATGTAACTAAGGTCTCGTGCTGACGTAATTTGTGCTGACTTAACTAAAAATTGTGCTGACGTAACTAAAAACTTGAACTGACCTAACCTAGGAACGCGTGCTGACGGCGTAACTACAATACGCGTCAAGATATCTACAAAAGAAGTTAGTGAGGCGCAAGACATCTTCAGAGATTAGTAAGGTGGCTCAGTTGTCACTAATCCCGGATGAGCGTGATCTTGCTGCTTCTGGCCTCACAGCACTTAATAATACCTGACTACTCTGCCCCTCCTATACCACCCTCTACCACCATGTCACGTTTCAGTCAAATCGCTCAACTGGTTTCTGAGATACAGTGAAAGTCATCAAGGATCACCTGAAGATTCGCCCCATCACCACCTTCTGCTTATTTTACCTTGGTTATTATGTTAGGATAGGTTAGGTTATTATGTTAGGTTAGGCTAAGTTAGGTTGGGTTATGTTAGGTTGGGTTGGTTTGTTAGGCTAAGTTATTACGTTAGGATTTTAGGTTAAGTTTTTAGATTAGGGAAGGTTAGATCAAGTTAACTTAAGTTTGGGTTGTTCATCTACAGGTGACAAAAAAAAGAGACCGATCTTCAGGTGATCTCGCTAAAACTCGTTTAAGATCAGTAGGAAACATGTTGTAGTTCTTGCCTTGACTTTAAACATGGTTATCGAAGCACAACACACACACCGCAAAACAACCTTAGCGCCGTCAAAATGCACATTACACCAAAACCCATCAACAAAGCTTAACTACACCCGGACATAAACTGCGGTGAAAATTCCTTGAACAATTGGTTACTTCCCGGTATCTACTTCTGGGTCAAAATAATATACGATTAATTTATTTCTAATGCCTTTTATCATCACATCATGTCGGAACCACAAAATTAAAACAAAAACTCCTTAATATAAAAAAAATAAAAATAAATCGCGAAAATACAGACGTTAAAATTCTATTACCTCTCGCATAACGATCGTCAAGTACTGACATGCCAGATACTGCCAAGTGTCCACGATATTTTGTCCACAACTGTACGTACAAGGCATGAGCTACAAAGTCCTTCCTCCCTTCACTGAGAGCTGGCCATGCAAAAGGTGATTACATTGTTTACCACGAGAAGGAAAACTCCAGCCAGGGTTCTTTGCAAAACACACACACACACACAGCATCAGCCTGCAGCAATATACTGTACCTCCCCATCAGCGTCTTCCCGTCCCAGGTTTTGTCATTGTTTAAGTTACCTCTAAAGTAACCCAATTTACACCACCTACTAGTCTACATTACCCCCTCCCCTCCCTCCTCTTGCATTATCAAGACCTCTTCCACCTCACACTCAATCACACTTACCAGTTGCTCAGGAAATAATTCTCATTATCCGGTGAAATGAAACTTTCAAAGGTATTTTTTATAGTCATTCACTTTTTCAGAGAGAGAGAGAGAGAGAGAGAGATTACAAGCTTCTCTATATAGTCAACACTAACAAGAGGACAAAATAATAAGGGTGTGAAGAGGTTGGTTAGGTTAAACAGCATAAAACAGACGATCGTCCGAGTGAAATGTAATCGTGTGAGGGTACAAGATTGTGTGTGTAAGATTGCGCGCGTGTGTACCAGCAACGCTAACAACAATGGCGTATTAAGGAGTGGCAAACGAATCGACGACGCAATAGTTTAAGAAGGGAGGGAGTGAGGGGGAGGCAGGAACCAAACCAAGACAATACCACCAAAGGAGTTGAGAGTGTGAGTGTGTGTGTGTGTGTGTGTGTGTGTGTGTGTGTTTTAAGCGAGTACAACCCCTTCCATATATACTGCTAATGAATATGATGCATTTCTTTGTGTACAAAACTCTATCCTGCATGGCAGTGAACATTACCCACATGAATCTGACATATATATACTGTGAATGAATATGATGTATTTCTTTGTATACGAACCTCTGTCGTGCATGGCAGTGAACAGTGACATCACCCACATGTCTGTGTATGAACCTCTGTCCTGCGTGGCAGTGAGAAGTGATACCACCCTCAGTGTCAAAACCTGACTAAATTACTCAGAATAGGCGAACTGTACTCCAAGCTTTGTCAATAAATTTGTTAAACTAAACCTTCCTCCTCCTTTTCCCATCCCTCCATTCTCTAACACTTCCAACTCCTGTGAAGTATATAGGCAGCGCTACGGCTTTTGTTTAATCCCCAGTCCAGACTAAAAACAAACAAACACAAACAACCACGAGTTGTTAACGACGATCTGTTTTCAAATTCTTATCTCTCCACACAGCTGCAAGAGGCGTCAAACCCGTAAATAAATGAAGTAAATAAGCAGTTGTTGGGTTTAGCTGAAGGATACATTATACAGTCTAATTGGTGCGTCTAATCATCAGGCGGTCACATAACCTTGTCAAAAACGACAACAAATAACGAATCATATCTCCCCGGGGTTTGGTAGAAGCGGTATCACTCTTGCCTCGCAAGCTAGATGTCACGGGTTCGACTCCCGGGCCGGCGGAAGTTGTTTGGACATACTTCCTAGCCCCCATTAGTCCCCGTTCACCTAGCAGTAAGGTAGGTACCTGGTGTAAGTCGAAAGTTGCGAATTCGTATTCAGGGAGTTGGAGCTTCCAATAACTTGATGACATAAACCATTGACTTTTCAGGTTTCTACGCCCTAGACTCTTCAGGCTTCTACGCCCTAGACTCTTCAGGCTTCTACGCCCTTAACTCATGAGACATAAAGGCAAGCATGAACTTAGCATGCTTCCCTGTTGGGCGCTGTAAACGCTTCACCTTACACAAGATGTAGGGGGTGCTCCCCCCCCCAAAAAAACACTCCGAGTAGTGTAAGCCGGTAAGAGGGAGGCATTGATGTTGTTATTTACTGAGCTTCTACAACACATTCAGTATACGAGACACTCTTAGGGGATAAACCTCTTGAGTGTACGGAGGTGAGGGGGGAGGGGTCTCTGTGCTGAATACAACCGCCTGCAGTTTAGCCAGATATTATTAAGTGATTCTCGTAGTGAAGAGGTTTAATGCTGCTTCACGGGGGCTGTCACTCTCTTGTGTGATATGACTTGCGTGTATGTGGTGAATTACATACAATACATGTTACGCCGACGCTCTTATGTAAAGTATCAGTAAGTGTGTCACGAAAATTTATGATCACACGGACATTCCCTCCCTCCCTCCCTCACTCTATACCCCCCCTCTCTAAAACCTCCCTCCCTCCCTCATTCAACCCCCTCTAAAACCTCCCTCCCTCACTCAACCCCCTCTAAAACCTCCCTCCCTCCCTCCCTCACTCAACCCCCTCTAAAACCTCCCTCTCTCACTCAACCCCCTCTAAAACCTCCCTCCCTCACTCAACCCCCTCTAAAACCTCCCTCCCTCACTCTACCCTTTCTCAAACACTTCCCTCACTCTACCCTCTCTCTATAACCCAAGTTATGCTGTAATGATCCATTTCAACAGACTCAATGGCAGTATGTAAACACCTGATAATATGCCCCAGCTCTTAATTTCAAACCTGGAGTAAAGTATAATAATTATTTGCCATTACTCCAAAGATAATAATTTTTTATATAAAGTTAACCTGGGACTATAAGACTACACGTCGCTTTAATGGCTTCAAGAGTTTTATTAGTTTAATTTATAATACTCCCTCAATTGCCCTCAGGTTACATTTATTCCTTTTAATTATAACAGTTCCACAAAGAATTAAATACTGAACGCGGGGAAACAGGAGTGAACTGCTTATAATCCTGTACAGTACATGAGAAGGGTGACCCAACACAGATACAGTACCGGTAATCGCACAGTTGGGATCTCATGAAGAATTCGAACTGCCTCTTACGTCACCTGATGATTTAAACACACTAACTTGAACATAACTTCACCCCCCTCTCTCCCCCATTAAGTGTTCGACAAAATATGCAAGGGTTCCTAATCTTCCCGAGATCCTACCTGGGTCCGGGATATTCTTCAAATATTACACCAAGTATACCAGGAAAGAGTTTATATGGGGATTTATTAAAAGGCTGATTTGGATTATCATGTTCAGCACATCACAACAAATTATATGATACATTTAACACCACCACAATGAGTGAATTTGGTAAACTTGTTATCAAGGTGACGGCATCTGGCAGCTTCTCATGTACAATACTACATCACATTAAAGTGCTCCTTTCATTACATTAGTTATGCAAATGGTGAATTTAGTAGTCATATATTGCTGACGTAATTCACGAAGCACTCGATATTACATTAGTTAGATTACATTGTATTACGCCACTACACCCGGAAAGGCAGAATAGGGTGATATTTAACACATCTGGTGTCACTTGGCAACCCCCTTGAGAGAGAGACTGGTAGCTAGCTGGATCCAGGGCTACCTACCTTGAGCTGGACTGTATAAGTTTTACAGTCCAGCTGTCTCGTCAGTAATACTCACCCGTGAGCTGTGGGCATCACACCCGTTCTTGTCATGCACCCGCTCTACTGTACTTACACACTTGTCAACCAACCAGCGAGACAAAAATCACACTTGACGGACAACTGAATCATATTAAGCTGCCCTGCATCACAAGTGAGACAATTGAACACTTCATGTTTTATCCCTTTGTAGTGCAGAAACACAAAGAGGTATTTTTAAGTCTGGTGTCATCAGTAAAACACAAAAGTACCTTGAAATTGATACAAAAACAATATGTAACACTGCTCCAATGAAACTCAGTGAAACCTGTTTACTCTGGAAAAGTCTTCTTGGTCAATATAACTCCACGAAGACAAAATACAATTGGAACTTTTAACGATGTATTACCAGCTTACAAACAAAAACTTCATTTGCTCTAGGATGTGTCCAGGAAAGGAAATAAGCGAGTGACGCCAGTGACTGACCCCAACACACCCATCCTCATTCCTGACCCCCTTCAGTAATGGATGCTCCAGGCTCTAGGTCTTCACCCACCACCACCCACAGTCGAGACACAGGGAGACAAGATGTACACAAACGAGAATACAACACACCTGATACACATGCACACAACTCAACAGGATTTGATAAACACATAAAAAACTCTGAGAGATGCTGTGATCAACCTGCGCCTGTTGGTGAAGTAAGAAGAGTTATACCCTTGAAGGTCACGTCTTCCTCTAAGCAAGAGCATGCTACCTCCAGGATGGGCACCTTCGACTGCGAGGGTGACAGAGTGAACAAACATGGGCGGAGGCACACCGAGAGATGGGTGATGGGTGTGATTGTCGCAGGCATGATTGTCTCTGGACTCATCCTCATCATTGTTCTCTACACAATTCTCACTATCTCCTCGTTTTCACCTGTCAACTCCAACAGCAGTCACCAGTCAACTGTCACAGTCGAAGTTGATTCCTCCAATCACTCCAAGACATTGGTAGAAAACGAAGGAAATCTTGGAGATATCTTGGACTCTTCTAGCTATGATGATCCCGACCTCCAAGACTATCAGAGTTATGTGGCTGATTATGTTCGAGGGGCCATGAAAACAACTGTTGCACCCTGCGATGACTTCTATGAGTATGCCTGCGGAAACTGGGGAGTACAGCATCCTCCTCCAGGTAACGTCTCATATTGGAGCACAGTTGAGGCTATGACGATCCAAATCTGGCACATATTGGAGACAGAAATAAATAAGTTCATCAACACACTACACGACAACAATGACTCGGGTAAACTAAATCTTGATCCCTCGTCCGGTACTCCAGTCAGGTCTCCCTTACATGATGCGGACTCCTTAATAAGGGACTTGGTGGTCAATTACTATGAAGCTTGTAACAATGAATCTCATCTGACTCAACTAGGTGTTAGCCCCCTCCAAGACATCCTCCACAAGATGGATAAAAAGTATAGAAGTGTTGCACAACTGCCACCCTTACAAGCCTTCCAGAGAATGCTGGAACATGTCCATTATGACCTAGGCATCCATGCCTTCTTCAGCTGGAAGGTAGAGGTGGACACCAGTACTGCAAATCTCGTAGTAATAGAATTAATTTCTCCAAATACAGATATGCCACTACAAGGTACTAAGGTGGAGGGTAATGCCATCTCTATATATAAATCGTATGCTTCCGATATTCTGGCAATGATTGGTACATATGACAATAAAACTATAATGAGTGAGGTCAACACTATTCTTCACTTCCTGCAAATTTACCAGACTGTAAGTGGCTCTCTACTAGTCAATGTCACAAATACTGAAGAGTTGAAAAAGTTAGCGCCATTTTTAGACTGGCACATTTATTTCAACAAAGGACTCAATAGGGTGGGTGTGTTTCTCGACAGTGATGAACGTATTCTCTCAATGATTCAGGATTACCTATCTCTTATATCCAAAGAAATAATGGAAGAAATTTCGAGTATGGGGACAGACAGACTGTACGTATATCTTCGCTGGCAAGTGATCCATTACTATAGTCAGTACCTGCACAAACCAGTAAGAAATATGATACAGCCATTATTTGATGAAATAACAGGAGAAAACACTACAGGCTTTGTAAATTTCCGCCTCAGACAATGCACGAAGGAGCTGGCAGAGAAGCTTATCATACCTTCTTCTTATCTCTTCCTGGAAACTATGAAGACAAAAATTCATAAAAGTCAAACTGTGAAAGGTATGATCAGAAAAGTGGAACAAATGACCAAAAATATCCGTAATGAATACATAAATTACATTAACTCTTTCAAGTGGCCAGAGTCAAGTGCTAAGAATCTGCTGATTGATAAATTGAGAAGAGTGAATATATTAGTGGGTTATCCACCAGTCCTTGACGATGTCATAGAACTTCATAAAATATTTGAAAGCCTTAATATCAAAAAGGGCAGTCTCTTAGAGAATCAAATACAGTTATTAACATTTGAACAGGATCGTAAGATGAGGTTCTTGAAGGAACCAGGCAAGTACACGGAGTGGGAGATAGTGACGCCCTTGTCTGTTATCAGCTTCTATGTGTACCGCATGAACTCTGTAGTTGTACCGCTGGGAGGATTAACATACCCACTGTACAGTTCTTATTTGCCAGAGTTCCTCGCTTATGCCACAATGGGTGTGTTCATTAGTCATGAGCTGGGACATGCTGTCGACCTTATGGGCCGCACGAGGGATAGTTACGGCAGAGTTAATACCACCTTGTGGAGCGACTCGATGGTTCAGGTATTTATTGATAAGGTGGTGTGCCGCATTAGTGAATACAGCAAGACTTATTATCCAATCAACAATATTCTGACCATTGCTGAGGTGATGGCTGATGGTGGCAGCGTCATTAATGCCTTCAGGGCAATCAAGAGCCGATTCCGCCATGCAGAATTCCCACCACAAATAAGAGACCTTATGACGGAGTTGCATCTCACACCAGATCAGTTCTTCTTCCTGTCTTATGCCCAATTGTTCTGTATGACGTCAGCCCCTGGTGTGCCACTCAAGGGGGTTAAACATTATCCACCACACTCTACGAGAGTTCGGGCCACCCTGACCAACACACCTGATTTTCACACGGCTTTTGAGTGTCCAAAAAATACCAAAATGAACCCCATTAAAGAAAGTTGTGACATATGGTGATAATGAACATTATACAGTAATTATGAAGGGAAAAAAAGAGTACTTGCAAGTTCTGCAACAAACCAAATATGTTTCACCAGGTATCATGTACTATGTCTTAGGGAAGCTAAAATTCTGCTATGATGGTTTGAACAGTGATGGCATATACTAAGATCAACGTTTTGTTCTTAACAGTGACTAATCCTCTTTCAGGATACATATGCCTGTCACTGATTAAGTATTGTATGCCAATCACTGATCAAATATTGTATGCCTATCATTGATCAAGTGTTGTGTGCATGTCATTGATCAAGTGTTATATCCGTTATTAATGTAGACATGTAATCTAGTATCATATCTCTTGTTCAGTGTTATTCTGTAGTTTCATGGGCCTCTTTAAGGTAGTAGACTCTCTCAGAAGAAAAACACTTCAGGAACTTTAAAGTTTTTTCCTCGAGGCAGATAAAGATGTTAAACTGTAATAGTACACATATGAAAGGTAGACAATGTTGTAATTAATACAGTATAGGTATACGATACTGTAATGTTATTAGTATTTATGTACTTTTAGTTGCTTGTTTAGTGAACGATGGTAAAATAATGCAGTGTAAACTGTATCAGTTTGTAAGCAAAAAAGTACAAAAGAGTAAATACAAGTGATCGTGGGCACTTCGTGCCCGGTGGCGAGTCCGGTGGTACAGTTTACCAAAGCGTGAAAGTTCAAACGCTGGTGCTTGGCTAGTGCGCAACCGCTGGAAGGCTGGCAGCGAACAGCGACATCGTTTTCCAGCGTAAATAAAATAGTTAATCAATGCAAGTGTGTGTGTGTGTGTGTGTGTGTGTGTGTGTTTGTGTCTGTGTGCCAGCAACACTAACAACAATGGCGTATTAAGGAGTGACAAACGAATCGACGACGCAATAGTTTAAGAAGGGAGGGAGTGAGGAGGGGGGGGGGGGATATTAAGCCAAATGACACTTGTAACTACCCAATTAGATGAAGGCGCCAGGAACCAAACCAAGACAATACCAACAAAGGAGTTGTGTGTGTGTTTTAAGTGAGTACAACCCCTTCCATATATACTGCTAATGAATATGATGCATATCTTGTGTACGAAACTCTGTCCTGCATGGCAGTGAACATTACCCACATGAATCTGACCTATATATACTGTGAATGAATATAATGTATTTCTTTGTATACGAACCTCTGTCGTGCATGGCAGTGAACAGTGACATCACCCACATGTCTGTGTATGAACCCCTGTGCTGCGTGGCAGTGAGAAGTGATACCACCCTCAGTGTCAAAACCTGACTAAATTACTCAAATAGGCTCCAAGCTTTGTCAATAAATTTGTTAAACTAAACCTTCCTCCTCCTCCTTTTCCCATCCCTCCATTCTCTAACACTTCCAACTCCTGTGAAGTATATAGGCAGCGCTACGGCTTTTGTTTAATCCCCAGTCCAGACTAAAAACAAACAAATACAAACAACCACGAGTTGTTAACGACGATCTGTTTTCAAATTCTTATCTCTCCACACAGCTGCAAGAGGCGTCAAACCCGTAAATAAATGAAGTAAATAAGCAGTTGTTGGATTTAGCTGAAGGATACATTATACAGTCTAATTGGCGCGTCTAATCATCAGGCGGTCACATAACCACAACAAATAACGAATCATATCCCCCCCCCCCACTGGGGGGGGTCGGTGGTAGAAGCGGTATCACTCTTGCCTCGCAAGCGAGATGTCACGGGTTCGATTCCCGGGCCGGTGGAAGTTGTTTGGACTTACTTCCTAGCCCCCATTAGTCCCCGTTCACCTAGCAGTAAAGTAGGTACCTGGTGTAAGTCGAAAGTTGCGAATTCGTATTCAGGGAGTTGTTGGAGCTTCCAATAACTTGATGACATAAACCATTGACTTTTCAGGCTTCTACGCCCTCGACTTTTCAGGCTTCTACGCCCTCGACTCTTCAGGCTTCTACGCCCTCGACTCTTCAGGCTTCTACGCCCTCGACTCTTCAGGCTTCTACGCCCTTAACTCATGAGACATAAAGGCAAGCATGAACTTAGCATGCTTCCCTGTTGGGCGCTGTAAACGCTTCACCTTACACAAGATGTAGGGGGTGCTCCCCCCCCCAAAAAAACACTCCGAGTAGTGTAAGCCGGTAAGAGGGAGGCATTGATGTTGTTATTTACTGAGCTTCTACAACACATTCAGTATACGAGACACTCTTAGGGGATAAACCTCTTGAGTGTACGGAGGTGAGGGGGGAGGGGTCTCTGTGCTGAATACAACCGCCTGCAGTTTAGCCAGATATTATTAAGTGATTCTCGTAGTGAAGAGGTTTAATGCTGCTTCACGGGGGCTGTCACTCTCTTGTGTGATATGACTTGCGTGTATGTGGTGAATTACATACAATACATGTTACGCCGACGCTCTTATGTAAAGTATCAGTAAGTGTGTCACGAAAATTTATGATCACACGGACATTCCCTCCCTCCCTCCCTCACTCTATACCCCCCCTCTCTAAAACCTCCCTCCCTCCCTCATTCAACCCCCTCTAAAACCTCCCTCCCTCACTCAACCCCCTCTAAAACCTCCCTCCCTCCCTCCCTCACTCAACCCCCTCTAAAACCTCCCTCTCTCACTCAACCCCCTCTAAAACCTCCCTCCCTCACTCAACCCCCTCTAAAACCTCCCTCCCTCACTCTACCCTTTCTCAAACACTTCCCTCACTCTACCCTCTCTCTATAACCCAAGTTATGCTGTAATGATCCATTTCAACAGACTCAATGGCAGTATGTAAACACCTGATAATATGCCCCAGCTCTTAATTTCAAACCTGGAGTAAAGTATAATAATTATTTGCCATTACTCCAAAGATAATAATTTTTTATATAAAGTTAACCTGGGACTATAAGACAACACGTCGCTTTAATGGCTTCAAGAGTTTTATTAGTTTAATTTATAATACTCCCTCAATTGCCCTCAGGTTACATTTATTCCTTTTAATTATAACAGTTCCACAAAGAATTAAATACTGAACGCGGGGAAACAGGAGTGAACTGCTTATAATCCTGTACAGTACATGAGAAGGGTGACCCAACACAGGTACAGTACCGGTAATCGCACAAAACCAATGACGTCTCCTGTATTAGTAACTATTATAAACACTGGGTTTTTTTTTACCCAAAGCATCACAAATAAAGAACAGCGATAATCCTAACTATAGAACTTTTTCCCTTAAAGATAAAAAGACGAGAGAAGAGGCGAGGAGGAGGAGGAGGGTTAGGTATTATCATCTTTGTGTGTGTTGTTAGTCGGGAATTGAACGAGGTAGTGAGTAAGTCGAGTGTTAAGGGTCAGCCACGACAACACGGCAGTCACCGATGATGATAAGACTTCCCACTAACTTTCATCTGATCTCGATTTCGAATGGTCTCTCTGATGCGTTCACCACCGTACTCCACTTCCGTTATGCCATACTGTTGTACATAATGACACAGCTACGAAATATGTCTATGACACCTAAAGACATGATACAGTGTGGGAGGCAGGGAAGATTGAGGGAGGATGGTAGGGTTGGAGAAAGGACCAGTTTACTCCTATCCCTGCTAATAATATACGTGTGTGTGTGGGGGTCAGAGCCTCACCGCCCCTCCACTTTCTAATAACAATGGTACAAAGGGAGAGGACTTGTGGGGCGTCTCCTGGTCCCGTCAACACTAACATCACCCACGGAGAAAGTTAAGCAGGGGTCGTGGGGGTGTGTTGGGGGGACCAGTGTACGGAGGGAGGGGGAAGGAGGGAGGTGGGTAGTGTGGGGCCATGAACTCGCACGCCCCGTGATGTTGCACCTGCAGACACCTTCAGCGCCCCCATCATGCAGTTCACAATCCTCACAATGGTGGGGTTAAAGCCGTGACTGACTAGTGCATAGCGATACTTTCCCTCCCTGTGTCTTACTCTCCCTCCCTAATTCTTCTTCCTTTTCCTCCCTGCTTTCCTAATTCCTCTTCATCAACCTTCCTCCCTCCCTAATTATTCTTCCTCTCCATCCTTCCGTCTTCTCTCCTCCCTCTCACCCTAATTGTTCCTCCTCTCTGCCCACCACCACTACCGTTTTCCTCCTCTATATCTTTTATCACTTTCGATTCCTTTCACCTGGCGACCGTACCCAGTCCTACCCGACACAGCCAGGCACACAGACGGATGGACAAAAATATACGTTGTTCATCACATTTAGGGAGGCCAGCGTTCTGTTTACCCAACTCCCAAAGAAATATTAAGTTATAACACACACACACACACACACACACACACACTTACTTCAGCAGAGTGGCGTTGGTAATGACTCCATGTGTTATCACTAGAGCCGGGTAGAAAAACGAGTCGCCTGGTGTATTACAATGACACAACACAAACACACTGACCCACGGCACAAGTAGCAGCGTTGGGTTGGGTTGGGTCAGGTTCGGTGTGTGTGTGTGTGTGTGTGTGTGTGTGTGTGTGTGTGTGTGTGTGTTTTTGTCGTGCATATGCTTTTACTTTGAGCATGAGAACTTTGCATGGAGAGAGTAGTGTGTGTGTGTGTGTGTGTGTGTGTGTGTGTGTGTGTGTGTGTGTGTGTTGGTTTATAGCAGGAACAACACGTCCTAACTCGCGAGCTGTAAGGGTGAGCAGGGTTCCAGCTACCCCGACTGCCTCCACACTTCGCCAAGTTCCTAGAATATCTAATAGTATGGTAGTCGAGTGTTCGGTACTGGACCACCTGAAGTTTAGACCCCCAGTTTATTTCACGTTAAAAAGTTATCATCCTAACGCTAACCAAACCAAACTAAACTAACCTAATTTAATTTAATCTAATCTAACCTAACCTAACCTCACGTAATCTAATCTTACCTAACCTCACATAATCTAATCTAACCTCAAGTAACCTGACTTAACCCCCCCCCCCCTCTGGTAATATTAAGGTGTTTAATCATTGAAATAAGAGGGTGGGGGGGTGGGGGGCTAATCCTCATATGATCCCAGGTACTTTCTCTAGCGACGGCACGACTCAGGAGAGCGACCCGCCATATACCGACACAAACTCACTCAAGAATACAGTACTACAGGGATCACTTGAACAACAGTCACCCCAGTTAGTTTTGACCTGTCGTGTTCGAGCGAGTATGTCGTGTTCGAGCGAGTATGTCGTGTTCGAGCGAGTATGTCGTGTTCGAGCGAGTATGTCGTGTTCGAGCGAGTATGTCGTGTTCGAGCGAGTATGTCGTGTTCGAGCGAGTATGTCGTGTTCGAGTAAGCGAGTAATCGAAGCGAGTATGTCGTGTTCGTGTTCGAGCGAGTATGTCGTCGAGCGAGGTGTCGCGAGTATGTCGTGTTCGAGCGAGTATGTCGTGTAGTATGTCGTGTCGAGCGAGTATGTAGTATATATGTCGTGTTCGAGCGAGGTCGTCGTTCGAGTATGTCGTGTTCGAGCGAGTATGTCGTGCGAGCCGGTATCGTGTTCGAGCGAGTATGTCGTGTCGTATGTCGTGCGGAGCGAGTATGTCGTCGTTGACGAGTATGTCGTGTTCGAGTATGTCGCAGAGTATGTCGTGTTCGAGCGAGTATGTGTTGTGCGTGTTCGAGCGAGTATGCCGTGTTGTATGTTGTGTAAGGTATGTTGTGTTCGAGTATGTTGTGTCGAGCGAATATGTTGTGTTCAGTGAGTATGTTGGTTGAGTATGTTGTGTACAGATGGTATGTTGGTTGAGTATGTTGTGTACAGGTGAGTATGTTGGTTGAGTATGTTGTGTACAGATGAGTACGTTGGTTGAGTATGTTGTGAACAGGTGAGTATGTTGGTCTAGTGAGTATGTTGGTCCAGTGAGTGTGTTGGTCCAGTGAGTATGTTGCCCAGTGAGTATGTTGGCCCAGTGAGTATGTTGGTCCAGTGAGTATGTTGGTCCAGTGAGTATGTTGGTCCAGTGAGTATGTTGTTCCAGTGAGTATGTTGGTCCAGTGAGTATGTTGGTCTAGTGAGTATGTTGGTCCAGCGAGTATGTTGGTCCAGTGAGTATGTTGGTCCAGTGAGTATGTTGGTCCAGCGAGTATGTTGGTCTAGAGTGAGTATGTTGGTCCAGCGAGTATGTTGGTCCAGTGATGATGTTGGTCCAGCGAGTATGTTGGTCTAGTGAGAATGTTGGTCCAGCATGTTGGTCCAGTGAGTATGTTGGTCCAGTGAGTATGTTGGTCCAGTCCATGCGAGTATGTTGGTCCAGCGAGTATGTTGGTCCAGTGAGTATGTTGGTCCAGTGAGTATGTTGGTTCAGCGAGTATGTTG